TAAACTTCGCTTTGGATTCTGCCCGAAACGTTGTCCATCTTTAATGCATCTGCATTGCAATCGTCGTGCTTGAAAGTGACGAATACCTTTTCAGAGCCGTGTTGAAAGGTAACATCGATGTTTTCCGGCGGGATCTTTGACTCCCGAAAGAGTTCCTTAATCCGCCTAGTGTACAGCTCGCCCATAATACCGGGTTTGTAGTTTGTAAAATAGACGGTGCGACAGGGATCGTGCCCCGATATCACCTGGTACATATCGCGATCTGGTTCCACACACGGCCCCTTCGAGCGCATGAAATAATTGGGATAGAAAGCGCCAGCGATGATCACTTTAAGGATGATCGATCTCTCGCGTTCGGACAACTTTTGGCTAGCAACAGCTGTAAACGGGACCAGGCCTAGTTTTTCGCATCGCACTCGTAGCTCCTGCACCAGCAGGTGCATTTCCTTGAGCGATCGCAGGGAGACGTGGAAGCGATTTGCCCAGCGAATAGCAGACTCCTGCTCGTGGCCAACTTCCACCATGTTTAAATATGTCTAACGAATCATATAATTCTAGTTAATTAAAAAATGTTCAAAATTCTAGTACTAACCAGATAAACGCGCCAAATGGCCACCAAGTCGGAGCCAGATCCATCGGCAAAAATGTAGTGCATCCAAAATGACTCGCATTTTTTATGTCTGCCACCTTCATCAACATACAAGCCACGCAACGATAAGCCAGCGGCTGTAAAACATTAGAAACAATTCGATTGCAGTTTAAGACATTTCCTCCATAATTATAATCAGTGAGATTCAATTCAACCGCCTTTTTCCATATGATCATGTTTCACTTCTTTATGCTCACCTATGATAATCACTTCCTCGAGTAAGTTGAACACATAGCCCAATATGATCAGACGCGACAGACGAGTGTCCAACGGGAGCCGAGCCATGATGGTGCCCCAGTAGGTAATATCACCATCCATCTCGTTGTAGACACCATCCACAGTAGGAAATAGTGCACCCACCTCCTTCAGCAGCAATATGGTGTTCCGTATATCCGAGAGATTGGGTGGAGAAAGCGCCAAGGCCAACAGCTCAACTGGTGATCCCATTTCCAGCTCTTTGGCCCTGAGCACCGAATTTTGCAAGGGCAGACGCAACATTTCTGGTATCCCAAACTCTGACATTTCCGTTTGGTAAAAAGATTTATTGACCATACGGTAGACACGTCCACTCCGGAGACGGCCAACACGCCCGGCACGCTGGCGACAATTGGCCTTGGAGGCCCAAGTCAGGCGGAGAGAGGAGAAGCTGGTGGCTGTATCGGTGACCAGCACTTTGGTAAGACAGAAATCAATTACATAGGACACATCTGGCACTGTGATGGAGCTCTCAGCGATGTTGGTGGTCAGAATGATCTTGCGGTAACCCAGAGGCGGTGGGTGGAAAACATCCCTTTGGTTCTCCGGGGTCATCAAAGAAAAGCAGCGTACAATAAAAATCTTAATATTTCGGCTGTAATGAAATCATTGAAATCGATATCAACAGATGAATTATATCATAGAAAACAATTAAGTGTAACAAATTGATAGCTTACTCATCCTGCAACATTGTAGTAATGTTTTGAGCCATGGTGTCAATTTCGTATACGCCTGGCAAAAAGATGAGCACAGCTCCATGGCTTACGGCCTCGTCGTAGTTTACCCGTGACTGTTTCGCATCATCCCGTTCCATGTTGTCAATAACCATAATAATCTTTACCGCCGCCCTGTAGCCGTCGTCGGAGATGCGTGGAATGTACGGATCATGATCCACCTCTTCTTTCCACTTAATACCCTTCAGTTGGTCGCGGTAGAACTTCTCGATCGAGTGTTTTCGTCCATGACTGGCGGTGATTACCGGCGGAATCGACTGCGAGGTGGTAAAATAGTCCGACAGTTCCGTGGCATCGATAGTGGCCGACATCAGGATGATCTTCACGTGACGCGAGTTTGTGGCCAACAGGCGGCGCACTACAATCAGCAGAAAGTCCATGTCCTGGTCTCTTTCATGTACCTCGTCCAACACGATGTGGGTGTAGTGGGTAAGTGTCTTGTTGTTAATCAGGTTGTTAAGTAGCACACCGGTGGTGCAGTATAGAAGGCGGGTGTCCTCCAGAGTAGATGGACGATGCAGACCCACCTGGTAGCTGCACACGGTGTCTGCCTGCCATTGGCGCTCTTGGCACACTCTGTTGGCTATAGAAATGGCAGCTATGCGTCGAGGTTGGGTAACCACAATGTTGCAGTATTGGCCGCTCTTGAAACCCTCGTCCAAAATGTATTGAGGCACCTTAAGGATAGACAATATATAATTCAATAGACTACCAATAACAAAAATAAATATATATAAACAATTTTTTTTATTAAAATAAAATATCCTATAATAAAATAAATTATCCTATTTCTAAAAGGTGCCTTAATAGCTTTTAATTAAATGACATACTTTTAAAATTAACCGTTTCGTGCGATTTTTGAATGTCCCCTACCAAAAATTATCAACACTAAACGATTATCGATAGATTCCAATAAGTGTTGTAAAACACTTAAACCGGCGAGTCGAATTGTTTACATTTTTGTACCTGTTTGATTGGATTTCCAAATGCAAACTAAATCAGCCCAAATCTGAGCCACAATGGAGTTGAATGTCTTTGACGATTGCTGGGAGTTGGTGCAGCGATTCCAGAGACTGGTAAACGATGGCGAAAACTGCGAGTTCGAGACCTTCTGCCGTTGCTGGCGGGATATGCAGCTGCAGCATCTCTTCACCGGCCAGTCGAACCACACAGAGGTGATAGCCACGACTCTGGCGGCCCTGCACGTGGCCAAAAGGCTGTCTTGCTCCCGCCGAACCAGTGGCGACGTATTCGCAGCATCTCGCGCCCAAATGATCGGGGGACTCTTTTTGCTCTACGTGATCTACTACAAGCAGCCCACCCACAACTTTGTCAAGATCGAGGTCTCACCGCGCACCTGGCAGGAACTCACCGACTTCGTCCTGCAGCTGCGGATGGAGAGTCCGGAGCGGAAGGACACCCAGCAGGTGTCCTACATGTTATGGCGCCTCGTCCAGGAGCAGGCCTTCCGCTTTACAGCGCTGGACTACTGCCAGGGATTGGACAACCTGGTGGACTACGACCGACTGGAGATTGTGGCGGGTGCCAAGAGGCAAAAGCAAAGTGCCTTGATGCAGAAGCAACAGCGTCCCAATAACGTCAGTCTCACCTACGAACTAGAGGGCCTGCGAACCCTGGACCTCGCGAGTCAGCCGTTGTGTGATCTGGAGTCGGCGTACAATGCTCAAAAGGCGCAGCTGGCAGGTCAAGAACAGGCTCTGCCGCCCACTCAAATATTTGGCCATCTGCGCGATGTCTTCGCCGAAATCCAAAGTATACTGGGAGAGAAAAAGAACACTGCAGAAGAGGATCAACCCACAACATCTACAAGCAACCAGTTAGAAGTGCGCCAAAGGGTGCGAAACAAGGCCATGTACGGCGTTGAGAAAAGGGAGCCTCAGGAACAGACGGAGGAGCTGGAAGTGGAACTTGAGGTCAACGAGGCGTATCAGCGGAGGATGTCATCGGCAACCGTGTTCCAGCAGCAGCTGCCCGAGGATGTACAGCGGGAGTATGACGAGATCTGTGATTACAGTGATGACGAAGAAGAGGAAGGCGAGGATAGCGAGCTAACAGAGGACGAAGTTCAAGAACTACTGGGCTCCTAAGATAGTTTATGAAACTTACAATGACAAAGGAATTTTGATCAGTTGAGAATATTGTTGTTTAAATAAAAAAGCTAATTAGATGTAAAATTGAAAAAGTTTCCATATAAATCGATTTTAAAAAAAATGGATCAAATATCTCTTTGATCTTTAAATACCCCAATCCTTATACGAATATATGAAATTTTTTTTTTAGGAGCGATAAATGAATGTTGAACGTTTTCCATAGACTCTTTAAGGCCCATGCCTCCTTGACCAATTTTCGTTTTCCTAATATTCTTTTCTTTTGGCGCTTAAATCTTTAAGCAATCAAATTCCATTTTTAGGTTAGAAATTATAACTGTCTTTGGAATTTTGTAGGTTAGAAAACCAGCGACAGTGTGGCAACGCTCACCTGCGTGGTCTTGCCACATCCTGTTTCGCCCTTGAGAATTACGACCGGATTCGCATTGATGGCCGCCAAAATCTCCTCTCTTTTGGCGTAGATCGGCAGACTCCTGTCGCGATTCAGATTGAATCTGTACTTCTTGTAGTACTCGTCATCTCGCCGGATTTCGAACTCGTCTTCCTCGTCGTCTGTGTCCAAGTCGTTCATGGTGCGATTGCGCTCGCCTTGAGGGCAATCGTCGCGCAGCGTCTGCATTAAATTACAAGTAAATAAACAAAAAGTGCCGACGCAGCTGGCTTTGTGTATGTTTCTTACCCCGTCGAGCCGGAGTTTCTCCTTGGCCACGATTTCGGCGACGTAATCTGTGCCGATCACCTCGCGCTTAACCACCTTCGATTCGATGGGATCCACGGCCATATTATTCGGATCACTGCTAATGTAGCCCTGTGGGGCTGCCTCGCGCTTGAACTCCTTCGAAAAATCGAAGAAGTCCATCAGCTCCTGGTCGTACTCCATTATTTTTCTTAAATAAATCTGTGCCCAAAATTTCACAATCCCGCGTAGCGTCTAAAGTTAAACGGTAAATTGTAGTGGTGGGACTTTTGGCCTCAAAGGTGGAAAAAGTCAGAGCTGATATGTATCGATAGTTCGGTGATCGATGTCGTCGCGGGAGCTTTATATTAAGGGTATTCTTACAGTACCTAAATCTCATTAAATTCGATAAGGATTTCTTTTCATTTTATTTTAAAGTATGAAGTATTAAGTATTTCATTATTTTCTTTAGTTCTACGCCTAAATTTAAAAATACAAATGAAAAAATCAAATATAGTATCGAAGATTGTATGGAAAAAATTATGAGTATCGAATAGACGGACTATCGTTGCTGGCTCAGCTCTAATTTGTTCGGTCAAATTCAATAGCAAAACAACTTTTTGGCAATTTTAGTTTATTTTGGGCCGCAAACATGTCGGTAACAATGCGAATTTTCACCGCATCGCGCACTGGTAGGTTGCCCAGCAGCACACACAACTCTCCCCATCCAAATTGCGAAAAACCCGTGAAAAATCCATAAAAATTGCATTGAGTGAGGTTATGTAAGCTTATGTCATAGCAAAACAAAGGACTAAATTGGCTTATTTGAGGATGGTACTTGGCTTTTAATGTGTAAATTAATGGTGAAATGTGTTTCCCACAGGTCAGCGCATGTTTGGCAGCCAGGGAGCCCGTCTGCTGGCCGCCCAGCGAACAGAACCGAAAGACATAGTCGAGGTTCCCAAGGGCTATGTGTATGTAAACAACAAGGAGCTGAGCATGGAGTTGGCCGACATCACGGATCGGGCCGCCTCCACCATGTTCTTTGGCGAGCTCTTCCGCGGATTCGCCGTCACCCTGGCGCACATCTTCAAGGAGCCGGCCACTATCAACTATCCCTTTGAGAAGGGACCCCTGAGCCCTCGATTCCGTGGAGAACATGCCCTACGGCGTTATCCCAGCGGCGAGGAGCGCTGCATCGCCTGCAAGCTGTGCGAGGCCATCTGCCCCGCCCAGGCCATCACCATCGAGGCGGAGGAGCGTGCCGATGGCAGCAGACGCACCACCCGCTACGACATCGACATGACTAAGTGCATCTACTGCGGATTCTGTCAGGTGGGGAGGTGCTGGTACCTTCTTTCATTTACCGGTGACTAATTGCTTTTATTTATTGTTCGCGCACCGCAGGAGGCCTGTCCCGTCGATGCCATCGTCGAGGGACCCAACTTCGAATTCTCCACGGAGACGCACGAGGAGCTGCTCTACAACAAGGAGAAGCTGCTCTGCAACGGCGACAAGTGGGAGTCTGAGATTGCCTCCAACCTGCAGGCCGATCATCTCTATCGTTAAAGTTGCTTGTACCCCCTAGAATTCCTTGTTTAGAACGATTTTCCAATTAAAGATCGTTGCTGTAGCCGCGTCTTAAGCGATTGTCTTGTTGTATTTATAAATGCAGAGGATCAGGAGGAATGCAGATGAGTTATATATTAATGATAAATAATTTGAATAAATTAGTAACATACTATTCAAAAAATTAACTTTCTCTGGCAAGATAGGCCCACAAAAATATGCAAGGTTTAATGACTGACCAAAAAGTTTATTTAATAAACTGCTTAATACACAGCATACTCCTAAATTATTCAGTGATTAATTGATTTTTAATTTATTTTACTGTTGATTACAATTAGATTTAGCAAAAACTTCCTGATTAAAGGTTAGTTATTTGAAAACAAATATTACTTAAATAGGTAGTTATCCACTAAAAATTGATAGTTGTAAGCCAATCACGAACTGAAGTCTTAGAGAATTAAATAATTTAAAAGAATTCATCAGTAGTGACAATTTGGCAGTGACACTGAATAATAAAGTCCCACATTTAGGCGCGAGTCCAAACATTAAAGCATTTGCACAGTTCGTAGAAGCAAATAAGTGGAATGATCCCCTTTTTATTGTCCTGGTCCAGCCAGGCTTTTTTCCATGAACTTCTTTTTGGCGAAGCAGGTCCACCATTTGTTGGGTTTGCCATCCTCGGTGTTGAAGACCTTCTCCACCACCCGGTTGCCGGTTTCGTGGCGCAGCTGCAGGAGATACTGGCGCATCAGGTCCGCATCCTGGGCAGTCTGGGGCTTGGCATAGACGGCGTTCAGGGGAAAACCTGCATCGCCGGGGATGTCAAACTTGGAGATGGCCAGGCTGTACATGTCCTGCTGTCCCTGAGCCTTGCTGGTGGACCTATTGAGCTTCTTCAGGCACTCGGTGATGTAGAGCGTCACATAGATGAGCACGCGATCCACATCGGACTGGAAAGGATTAAGGATATACTTATATATTCTGGTTTATCCGGAAACCCAGACCTCACCTTGATTTCGTATGTGCGAAAGAAAACGTTCGCTTTGAAGTAGTACAGTGACTCATCGATGATGTCGCTCTCCACATTGGCACTGGGCGCTGGTCCGCGCACCTGTGTCCTCAGCGGCAGGATGGCCATGTTGCCCACCTGCTGGCGCACTTCCTTGATCTGCGAGTGGTAGGCCTGCAGGGATTGAAAGATTATAATCAGGCGGTTTTCCGAAAAAGTGCTACCTGGCAGGGGGTCACGAGAACAGGTGAAAAACCAGGGGAAACCCATTGTCCTCGATTTGTCTGCCTCTGATTTGGAAATATCTACTCACTGGCATGTTGTACACTATAATTTCTCACTTATTAATTAAGTTTTTTAAAGTTATTGAGTTTTTCCAATAAAAAGAAAACAATTTGTAGGCGTCCACTGTTTACGATTTTGCCATCCCTGGCTTATCGATAAGGCCGATAGATCATGACCTTGTTTTGGTATCTTTTGTGACAGATGGTCATACTTATTGAATGTGGCGCCATTTTTAAAAAATTAAATACCAGTTTAATTTTTATTTGCCAAAAGAATTCTGAATTTCTTTTAATATCTTTTTAATAAACTTCCTTACAATTATTTTATAAATCTTTAAGTAACACTCAAGACTAGTGTCTTATTTTAAAGGGCTCTACAAATTTTCAAACCTTTGCTTTACCTGTCAGAATTTAAGCATCCATTGTTCAACAAGCCTAATTTCCGTAAAAGTAAGTTTAAAATTTTCGATGTGTGCGCGTCTTTATACAGAATTAGCTTTCGACTTGGACTTCGCTCACTATGGATCAGAATAAAACTTTTCTCCAGAACCTCAGCGAACTGGAAAAGTCCGCCATGGCCTACAAGCGGCTATGTCTGGAATTGGAGTCGCTGGGAAGTCCGTCGACTCCAGCCGTCGCTCCTTCTTCTCCTCCGCCAGCGGCTCCAGTCGCCGCCCCAGGTCTACGAGCAAGTGCCTCTGAATTTGTGCCCCTCGCCAGCGAACGCATGCCAAACGACTTGGAAGAAGAACAGGATGAGTACACGGACGACGACGGTTACGATGCGGAGCGTAACATGAAAGCTGTAAGTATGAGGACGCATATTCAAGGTAGAAATAGCATCCTTAGCATATAATTCCAAAATTATTAAATTATTATTATTTATATTTATTTACCATACCATCCTAAACTAATTTAAGGTTTGTCTATTGATGTTTTCTTATTAAAACTTTATAACAATATATATGAAATCCAGTATGATTCATTTTCAAAAAAATTTAAACTTTTAAATTATTCCCTTACAATTCAGCGTTTTTTAATCCCTTTATTTGTTTCGCCAGCCCAAGCCCGCAATCTATGGCTTGCGTTTTTATAATCATAACAATTATGAAACCGAGGATGTGAGCGAAAATCACTTGGAGGCGGAAAAGAAGAGGAAGTTTGGGTATAGGGCACCCAAGTTTCGCCCGAACCAACCAACAGGTCGGCCACCAAGGACGGAAACGGCCACCGTTTCCACTGCGAGGACGCCCATGGATTTGGCCAGCGGACAGCCGCACTTCAAGGGACCCTACATGCCGCTCCTGCAGCACAGGATTGCAAATGCGGAGGCCTATGGCCTCATCCGCGGTCCCAACGAAAGGAACAGTCTGCTTTTGGAGGACATGGTCAAACAGTTGTCGCGTCTGGACAATTGTCCCATCAATCTCAACTCGCTTTTCCGCGGCAGAGGTCCACAGAACGCCCCATCGTAGATACCATATAAATATCTATCAAATTGTACAAGTTTCTTTATTAAAGAAGGCGTTGACTTGGTAGTCGATTTCCTATTCAGTCTTCTCAGTTGTTCGGTATAGTCGGAAACGTTTTTGAGTAGAGAAAAAAAATGACCAAAAAAAATAAGTACAAAGGGGTGCCAAACAAAAAGAAGGTGCCCATCGTAAGTTTTGTAGGGTTATTGAGGGCTCATAAATTATCATTTTCCTTATAGACTGCAACCGACAAAGAAGAGGAAGCTCCCCGTGATAAGGATCTTAAGATCGTTGAAGAGAAAGGCCCTGAACCTGAACTTAAGCCTGAACCAATGGAAGAATTGAGCATGGAGAAGACCAAGAAGCACCTGGACCAAATGTCGGCCTTGGCCACTATGCCATTGCGTTTGGACCACCAGATCCAGTGCATCAAGGTCGTCCAGCAACAACTCTTCAAGCTCCACCTGCAGCAGGTGATCCTCCTCGATGGCTGCACTGATTTCCTCCAGGAACTCAACAACATCCAGACGACTAGTGTCCTCGAGGAGCAGCGAGTACTGGAGACTTTTAAAGAGGTCAAGTCCAAGTTATCAGAGGTTTTCGAGCACTTTTTGCCCGCTCAGTTGGATTTGCTAAAGCAGGAAACAAAGATCTTGGAGGTGTCCAACCAACTGGTGTTCAAATAATTTATTAATCTTTTAGATTTATAATTAAAGGGGATAAAAATCCAATAAAGAGATCATATTAACAAATAGTATTCTTGAATTCAGAAGATGTTGGTATAGGTAGTATTGAAATAGTTTAAAAAAGCGTTAGCCAGTCAAGCAATAATCGATTGCCTAACTTGCGATTGGCAATCGATATCGTGTGTCTCTATCGAATAGTACCTTTATTTAAAATTGTAAATTATTCCGGAATAAAATGAATCCACCGCCTTCCAGGGGGCGCGCCCCCTCGCGATTCGTTCGTGGGCGTGGTCGTGGAGGCGGGGCCTACCGCCCGTACTTTTATTTCCGGCGCAATGGACGAGTAATTCCCGCCCGCGGCAACCGGCAACCAAATCAAGAGGAATCTGGATCTGGAGCACCTGGCGCTCCAAGTACCGACCCGCCTGCAAACCGGCCATCCAGAGGCTGGGGCCGCACAGTCGGCAAACGAGGACGCGATGTCCACCTGGACTGCAGCTTCCTGAGGCCCGAAAACTATGCGGCTCCGGAGGATGGGCTGCAGGTGCAGAGTATCGCGGTGGACAACCCAAGGGCCTATCCCGGCTGGAGGCTGTACTTCCTGCGCGAGAAGTACGAGGAGGGCAACGATCTGGCCAGCAGGATCATGGCCGTGCAGGCTCATTACCAGCGCAATCCTCACAACTACGATTTCCTCATGATCCGTGATCGGGGATTCTTTCGCCTGCCCGCCTTGACCATTTTATCAGATGCCCAGCTGAAGGAGGTTTGGCCTGGCCTGGTCGAGGACATCCGGGAGCACCCGCTTCGCACGCTGGCCACCCTTTCGTTGGCCATGCACACTGTGGTCCTGAACCACCTGCTGGACTGTAACGATTCCGTCGTGAGTAATACCTCTACCACCGATATATACGTCCCTCCGCCCGGAAGACTACGCAAGATCTACGTGCGACCGGAGGACTTTGTGCCCGTGGACCCAATGGAAGGGATGAGCCACTCCCGCGTGGATACTCTCCTTTGCATCCGGGGCACTGTGAGCAGCGTGGGCGAGCCCAGCTACAGCCTCACCTGGCAGGCTTTTCGCTGCAGCCGCTGCCAGATGGAGATTGCCATGCGCCAGCGAGGAACCTTCCAGCCACGTCCCTACCAATGTAAGCGATCAGAGTGCGTGGCTCGCGATGAGTTCCTGCCCCTCAGAAACTCTCCGTACACGCGACTCTCCATCAGACAGATCATCCGCCTGGAGGAATCCAGTCTGAGTTCAGTCCATGATTTCGAGAGCAGTCTGCCCGGAGAGATGGATGTGGAGCTGCGACACGATCTGGTGGATGCAGTGCGTGTGGGTCAGGAGGTTGTGGTAAGCGGAGTGCTCAAGCTGCAGGAGCTGGGCGAGGATGGCGCCACAGGAGACTCCTCCAACCAGATGCAGGCCTACCTCAAGGCAGTCAGCATTCGGGATGCGGCCGCCATCAAGCGGGAGTTCAGCGAGCGCGACTTGGAAGCCATCGCCATGATCAATGCGGAGCAAAATAGCTTCAAGCTGCTGGTGCAATCCATTGCCCCGGAGGTGTACGGGCATGAGCTGCCCAAGGCCGCCTGTTTGTTGTCCCTTCTCGGAGGTAGAGGACCAGAGGCTGATGCTATCAACGTGCTCCTAGTGGGCGATCCCGGCATTGGGAAGACTAAGGTCCTGCAGAGCTGTGCTCAGATCACGGAACGCGGTGCCCATGTGAGCGGAAAGCGTGGCGCCCAATCTGCCCAGCATTTGGGTGTTACCTTCGCTGGAAGAAACAAGCGCGTCCTTCAAGCGGGCGCCTTGATGGCGGCCAGTGGAGGCGGGCACTGCACCCTTGACGATGTGGACAAGCTGGCCTCTAAGCAGGCGATACTACTGCAATGCCTGCAATCGGGGGAAATAAACCTTCCACTTTCTGGAGCCTTTGCCTCTTTTCCGGCAAAACCTTCGGTGATAGCCTGCGCAAATCCTCAAAGAGGCCAATACGATGAGGGACGCTACCTCCTGCAAAATATTAATATTACTCCGGCTTTGCTCAAAGAGTTCCACCTAGTCTATGTATTATTGGACAAGCCCTCCGAGAGGGACATGTCCCTGACTGCCCATGTGCGGGCCCTTCATGCTGGGGCCAAAAAGCGAGCCAAGATCGCAGCTCGCTATGCCCTCAAGCCCAAGATGAGTGACTCCATGTGCGAGGCTACGTTTGACATTCCGGTGGCGGGAGAAAAGGATGACACAATGAAAACGGAGGACGATAACGACAGCGTTATGCAGCACGATTACGATCTGGACAAACGGCTGGAGCTGCTGCCGGAAGAGGAGGACTTGGATCTGCTACCACCCATCCTGATCAAAAAGTTTTTGGCCTATGCCCGCCAGGAAGTGAACCCGCTCCTAAACGAGGAGGCCAGCAATGCAATTTTGAGATTTTTCCAGGAGCTCCAGGGTAGCAGCGCCCACAGTGAAGGCGACACCAGCCAGATGGGAGCAGGGTGAGTGTATAATTTTGGTGATGGATTTATTTAAATTATGTTATGATATCTTTTTACTCTAGCTATAAGTTATATATAAGTTAAGATATTGGCCTATCGCACTAGCTTGAGAAAGGAGGAGACGGGGAGCTCCAGAAAGATAGCCAGCAGGAAGGAGCACAGATAGGACACGGTCACCGTGAAGAAGATGAAGGCGAACTATGGGGAGAAAACAAGAAAGCCATTGACATTTATCAACTCTGCAGATTATGTACAAAGGAACTCACCATCATGCCAGTGCCAAAATAAATGGGCTCTCGCACGGTGGCCAAGACGATTCTTGCCACCAGGAGATGGACAATAAACGCTCCATACGTGAGACGTCCCAAAATTCGGAATATGGGCAGGCAGGAGAATTTACGAAAGATCCCTGTGGGAAGATTGAATGGGACATTAAGAAACCCGTAAAGGGAAATGCCAAACAATCCGATACTTACAGCCCACCTTGCTGGCCATGCCCACGATGAAGATGCCTAGCCCAAAGCCCCAGATATTCCGTTGCAAACCGGCATACAGGGCACCCCAAATGGCGGACGGAGCCACGTAGTAGTGCTGAAAGATGGGATGCGCACTGAACATCCAAAGGATGCCCACTGGGATGAGCGTGAACCAGAGGAGCTGGAAGCTCTTAAGCTCTCTTAGCTTATATTGCTTCAGGGACAACTGATCGTATACCAAAGCGGCCAGGACTCCACAGAAATAGCAACCGAAGTTCATCCAGGACGAGGTGTAGAACTCGGTGAACTGACGATCTCCGATAAAGGAATCCTTCTGAGTTCTAAATAATAGGAAAACGGAATGATGCTAATCAACTTTTAATCACCTTGAGCTTGATTACTTACTGTGGAGTGGGCACAAAAATGGGATAGTAGTCCATGGCATAGGTGAACACTGCTGGAACAGCCACAAAGAAAGCTAGAGTTGCCGCACAGATCTGTTTGCTCCATTTGGCAAACCGGTGTCCCAGCATCAGGAGCACCAGGCTGAGCACAAAGGAGTGCGTATCCGCTGCCAAGTACCAACCTTGGAGCAGGCACTATAGGATGGGAACACAAATATTAATAAGGATTATCTGAACCATTGGATGATGCACAGCTTACCCTTTCATCCGTGCGCACAAAGTTGTTGATGTACAAGAGATTGGTCCACCAGTTGCGCCGACATGCCAGCTGCTCCCGTTCAAAGATGTGTCTCCACAAAGGACCACCCGCGTTCTCGAAGTAAACACCACTCATGAGCAGCACAAAGGCGTAGGGAACGGTCAACCGGATGTATCGGAAGGCATTAAACTTGACAAAAAGCTGAGCATACTGGACAAAGCTCCAGGTTTCCTTTTTGGCTTGAAGCGCCCGGGAAACATCCAGCCAATTGATGGTCAACAGAAGGCCACTGATAACAAAAAAGGTGACGGTGATCAAAGATCCCGAAACGAGTAAGGTGCCCGCTGCCGTATGAAGCATTCGCTCCGGATCCTGTGGATTGCTAATGGCGCTCTCGTAAATCACCCAGTTGGTGTGCGCAAAGATCACCATGAACATGGCAAAGAACTTAAAGCAGTCGAGGAATCTCAACTCGCGTCCGATCTTGCCACTTGGCTCCTGATTAAGGCGATACCAATTGCGGGCCACCGAAAAGGTGAGCAGAATCTGCTGAGTTGTACTCTTTGGAGGCGTCTTGTAGTGATCTCGCTCCTTGAGCATCTTGTCATGACGACCGCGTTTCAAATGAAGGTCTACCAGGCTGCCCAGACAAGCCAGGACCAAGAGACCGCCCAGGATGCCATAGAAAGTGAGGTTCCAAGCATCTTAAAAGGAGAAACAATATTGTATTATTATTAATATTATTCCATGTCCTGTGAACTCACCTTCCTCCACCTGGTGACCCGCCTGATCGCAGTACTCCACCACGCTCTTGGCCATCACCCCGAATCCTCGACGCTGCAGCCTTAAATTCAGGCAGGCATTCGTCAATCGCTGGTGACGCTCGCGGTTAGCGGCTTCCATCGAGAACAAGTCAAGATACACGTTCACCTGCAAAATCGAGCATGGGTAGATCATTTAATTGACCAAATGTCAACGTCAGGCCCTTGGCCTTGAAAGAAATGAGTGTGATTTGATTGAATTGTTTCGGATTTCGCTGTATCACCGCCCATTTCCATTTTTGGCCAACGCCTAAGCCAACACAAGCGCTTTGTTTATTCAGCCATCGTAAATGCATTTTGATGGCGAGTGCCATGCCCACTCCAATCCAATTGCCATTCGCATCTTTCACCTGCCAGCTCCCATTACCCAGCTATCCAATGTTTAATCAGCGGATTTTCCGGCTGTAATTTATGCAATATTTATAGGCAAGATAGAGATCAGACAATTAGCCAGAGGTGTGTGCAAAACGGGGAACCCCTTAAAAAGATATTTTTTGTTTATTCTGGAAATAAACCGTTTACTTTAACAAGCCCTTGAAATTTACTACTTTTAAAAAAAAGCAAAACCCGTTTTGTAAAATCATCTGCACAAATTAATATAGCCAAAGGGTTTTTATAAAGTATAGAACATATGGTGCTTATTAAAACTACGGTAAGCTAAACAAAATCTATTTCTATTCAATATAGTTTTTATGATATCTTCAAAATATAAAATCAAAATGATTGGGATGATTTAAGATGTTATAAAGCTGAAAAATACCAAAACAAAAAATTATTTCTCAACTAAACCCCCCTAGACTGCACCACTGGTCAGTAAATCTGCGGCTCACGCAGATTTCGAGTTGAATAAACTTTGGCGCCGCTACCCCGGCTTCTGTGCCCGATGATTGTTGATTGATCATTTCGGCCGACGCCTCGGCCAGCGATGGATTTTGAAATATGTGAATCTGTATAACTGCCCAGCACAGCATGTTTAAAGATTGAATTAAATCGTTAGCCGCAGCTGAATAGCTACCAATGAGGTGACACCTTCGGGTGGTCTTACCTTCGCATTTTCCGACAGCAGGCCGGCTTGCAGGGCATCCAGTTCACTTTCATCCAATCTGGACAAGGAAGCCTCACATTCGCGCAGGCAGAGGCCAAAGTAGAGTTGCCTGTGATCAAAGTGATGGCGATCATACTTCGAAATCGCAGCAATGGCCCGCCATGAGGCCACCGACTCATCCGGTTGGACTTCCGCCCGGACAAAGCAGTAGGTGGAGCCCTGACCATCGAACTCCTGGAGGCACCGATCGTAGTCATCCAAGTCGTACAGCGGCGGCATCTCATAGAACTGCGTCACTGCAAGGCGGAAGGGAAAGAGAACAGATCGAGAATTATTATGCGGAATCAGTCGGATCAGTCCCATTAAGTGGGAAACTAGTTTTTCGACTGCGCAGATCCTTTTTCGCTAGAACTGCAGTGCCGGGTTCAATGCCTGTTCATTCGAGTGAAAGGAAACTCGTTTCCTTTGGACGAACTTGAACTTGTTTGGCATTTGCATTTGCCTTCAGCATCTTCAACTTCAACTCCATCTCTATTCCGATTGAGGGAAAAAACCAAGCCAACAAATGTAAATAATGTAATTGTCTTGCCTTTTTTGCTGGTCAAGTGAGTGCCTCAATCTCTTGTCAAATTCCAGACACTTTGGCTGAGTTAATTGTTTGTCAAAATACTGCCCTGTCATCGAAGTCTCGAGAGGTTTTTATGCCTCCAATTTGGGAGGGGAACTTTTGCCACAGAACACGCAAATGGGAGTAGCAGGTGCATATTAGGGTAATACTAACTTTGGCAAAATGTTCTATAGTTATATCGATTGACAAGCATAGCATGCAATCTGAACAAAAGGCAGTGCATAATGGATTATGTGATTTTTTGTCGGTTTAGAACTTCCCCGTTTTGCAATTGGAAACACGGAAAACGCTTATTCTAGCTAAATTAATCCTAGACTTTAAATGATTTGTGGTTTTAACCACGATCATTTATTTTGTATTACAAATAATTATTAACTTTATTCTGTAAACAAACATTAACTTTCAATAACTAACTTTAAAATCATACAGTAGTAAAATTCACTATATCCAAAAACATTCAGAACTATACGATTTTTTTTTTGTATTTTAGAAAATGTATGTTTTAAAAGGGTTTCTTCTTATCTCATAATCACTCACTCGTTGTTATAAAACCCAATCTTATACAACAACTATCAGAACTTTTTTATAGGTCCATAAATCCGATTTACACGGAACATAAATCCTGGCCATTGTTTATAAGGTATCCAAAACGATATGCACTTACTGTTCAATTGAAAGCATTGCGCAGCCGTTAAAGTCGCCGCCAAGATCACGATGTGCAGCATCATAATGGTGGGATGGGATGTATCGTATCGAATCGGCGATCGTAATGCACCCTCTAATTGATTGACTTTGAAAGACTCTTGGCACTTTCGTCACCAGATCAATCCAATCAAATGCAACGCCAGCGCACCAATAACAATGAGAAGCGGTATTTCATCAACCGATGCGACTCAAAATAAATGAAGTAAAACAAAAAACGAAGCAGATGACCAGACCCAGACCCAGAGGCTTCCGCTATCCGGCCAATGCCAATGTTAGGAAATGCACTTTTGGCTAGGAAACCAAACCAATCCGAAAACCGAACCGAAACGATCCGCCAGCTAATGAACCGTTTGCGCCAACGAGCGAGCCGAGAATGAAAAGCGGCCCAAACAGATGCGTGCGGTTAAGGCCTCTGGATGGGATTGGGATGAGGGCTCCTCTGCCGCTGCCTCAGTCGGTGCAGTTGCTGTAATGATGGGTTTCAAAACTCCCCCCGAGAAATGCGTTGGTTTCCGAAAAATAAAACAAAACGCAAAGGTAAAATGCGTTGGAACATGTTCGATGCTGGGCACTCAGTCGCCCACATGCAACTGATTTATGTTTACGTTTTCGGGGCTCTCGGCCAAGTTAGCAGTTATTAGGCATAACGACACGACCATATGGGCCCATGATATACAAAACGTAAATATTATTCTCTGGCGAAACAAGTTTAGGGCAAATATGGAGATAATTTTATCAAAGTTCTGGGAAGAACTGTTTGCCGACGACACGAGTTATGATTAAAACAACATGCGAAGTTGATTAGGGGTCGAGAACATGAGTCCCAATTATGACCTCGGGCCCTTAATTAAAAAAAAGAAGACACGTTTTAGGAAAGTTTGGCAAAAGGAAAAAAACAAAAGACTCAGGCAACAAACTTGGGTTCTTAATTTGGGGCTAATAACATTTTTTAAGAGTTGTAAGGCTACATTTGTTTTATAACCTTTCTTGTAAAACTTTTGTTTTATTATTTAACTTATGATTTTATTTATTTTATAATTTGTTTAATAGTTTATCATTAATATGAATACTACTATATAAAATCAAAACAAAAGAAACTATCTCACAATTTCATCTTTGAACTCTTTTTTTAGACAACTTCTTGCCCTGATTCACCTGTCCCAGGCACGTGCTCGACTGGATTTGTCCCCCGTGGTCAGTCCCCAGCACGTGCGCGATGTTATCGCCCTGCTCACGGAGAGCATCACCCAGACCAGCCTGAAAGCGGGCTCCAGCGGATCCGGAGCTCGAGGTGGTGGTGGCGGCGGAGGCGGAAGGAGCGCCCAACTGCGCAATTTTGTGCAGTTGATGCAAAAACGCTCGGCGGCGTTGGGTAGGAGAATCTTCGATCTGGAGGAGCTGAAGGAGATCGGAACGCGGGCTGGCATCTTGACCAGCTTTAGCCAGGTGGTGGAAATGGCCAACTTGGGAGGCTATTTGCTCATGAAGGGAGCAAACATGTACGAAGTGGTTCCGGACTAGGCAAATGACAAATGAGCGGATCAATATTTGCACAGTGTCTGTGGTTTTCTTTCCTGTTAACTATTAGTTAAGTGGTCACCAGAATGAGGCAAAATAAATTATAAATAACTATTACGGAAAACAAAGCCCTAATCGATATTCTAATTATAAATTTCAAATGATAGTATAGTAGTGGTATCAAAATAACGCATTTGTAATAATTTGAAAACAAAAAGCATACTTTAGGGAGCAACTAGTTTGAGTTCGGCACTACACTGCGTGTTATAAGTATTATTGTTTATAAAAGCAGGTTGGCCCTATAAAATTTAAGGTTTACAATTCTGTTACGGCCTATTTATTACTTAATCAAACCTATTTAACAACTTCGAATGTGGGTCACTTTATATCTATTCTCCTATATTCCAACTGATCAAACACCTACTAGTGGAATCCACTTACATATTGTTGAGGACAGAGACTAGACGTGACTAGACAAAAACATCCGCCAAATAGAACGTATCCAACTTACAATTCCGAACATAAAGTTGGCAACTTCCAGCTGTCACTTTATAAATATTGGACTGATATTGCCAACTGATCAAGCACCCACTACTTGAATCCAATTACAAACTGTTGGAGACAGACTAGATGTGACGAAAAGTAAATAATGCTGAAATATTGGCACGACTTATACAATTTAAATTTCAATAAATACTTCCTCTGAATACAATGTAACCACATTAAAATTTCGAACCTTCTCACTTTATAAATATTAGACCAACAATTGACATCGATAAAACACCCACCAGTTGTATCCAAAAACATACATACTTTCCATAATTGGTTTCATTTAATACTTTATTTTCTTGTATCATAAAATTAGATATAATGTAATAAGTTTTTATAAATAAATACACAAAACATTTGTATCCGTTAGAAGTGTTCATCGTCCTTCGCTCGTCCTTACGTTCTGGGTATTCTAAAGTTTATGTCTTGCTCGCTTTGAATGCATTGTTTCTGTAGTCAGTAGTAACTATTTGAAGGACTCTCGTATACGCCATATACCAGAGCTGAGAGGGGTCTTAGATCTAAGTGGTTTATCGGTTATTAGAGCTATTTTACCGTGCCTGGAAATCCTATTCGACTATTTACAATATTGCTAGTGAATATAATGTAATATTTGGCTTATACTTTTGCTACCCCACTACGTTGCTCGTTTAAAACTTATATCCTACACACACTTAGGCGTATTTAGGGGTTTTACAATCGAGATTTTTCTGTGTTTTGGTTAGTTCTGAATTAGGGCTAGGATTGGTTAGAATAATTGAGATTAATAATACATGCCAATTTTTCAATCGTTTTAGGCTAATCAGTCTAAACAAATCGATGCGAACGCCAATCGCGCAAACGAAAACGAAAATTTCTCTAATTTTCTGTCTAAATATTTCAATCTAATATCAAGCTATATCTTAATCTAAGCTGTGTCATTTCCATAGTGCGATTTAGTTCAAGATTATTGCACAAATGTTTCAAATTTGAAGTTTAAAGGAATTGGCTAACCGGAATGCATTGCCCTTGGGATTCTGTTTGGATATTTTGGCCTATTGCATTGAGTCATTTGGGTTTTGTAGATATTTTTGGGTGGGTTGATTTTTAATTTAAAAAAAAAGATGCTCTAAGCTAAAAATAATCTATGCCTAATTCTAAGCACTTTTGACCTGGATCATATAGGTTTTACAGAATTGCAATACACTGAGAGTTTATATTAGAGGAAAGGCTATTGTTTAAGGGGACCATAAAAATAGAATAACATAGCCTCATTTTCCCTAAGCTTTGACCATTCAACATTGTGATCCGAAAGACAAACATGCTTAAAATTAGCCACAAACTTTCCTTAAATGGTTCAACAAAAAAAACCTAACCACCCTATTGTTTATAACTATGTCGTATGCTTTGTACTTTCAAAACTGTTGGAGACAGAGAGTAGACGTGACGAGAACTAAATAAAGCTGAAAACTTTGCACTTGGCGTTACCCACTAGCTATTTAGAAATAAACCTCAAATAAATATCAATAAATATTTCCGCTAAATAGACTGCCTTACACCTCCGAGCGGAATGTGAGGTTGAAGGTGCGCAATTCCATAGGTTCCAGACTGATCTCGGCCAGGGAGCGAATGTGAAAGGTATCCTTTGAGGGCTTCTGCTCCGTCCCCGTCAAACTGGTGGCCTCGATGGTGTGCAGGCTGAGCCGACCCAGCTGCACATTGCCCAATCCCTTGCTGGACAAGGGACAGACGGCCTCCATGGACAATTCCCTGCCAGCACTCACGCTGCAGTCGAATCCCTGGCGATGCAACACTAACAGCGCCGAGGCGGACGGAAACAGTTGCAGATCCGGATCGGATAGCGTGCGCAGGGTGGTCAGGTGGACGTCGCAGGGCAGCGCTCCCTTGGGCAGCAGCCTGACCAGCGGTAGCAGGGCTGCCGAGAGTTCTGGCTGCTCTAGGCTGCTCACAAAGTACAGATTCGGCGGGTAACGCAAGGCGTTGGCAAGCTGCTGGGCCTGCTGGCTTAGCACCTTGTAGCTGGGCGGCTGGGTCACTTGCTGACCGCCAGGAAGGTCCTCCAAGAGCAGCCAGAACTTGTGGCGCGTGAGGCGGCTGTCCACGACGCCCTCGCCCATTCCTCGATAATCGTCGTACAGGGTGCGTCGGTCCAGCATCACCTCCAGCTGACCAGGCTCATAGCTGGCCGCTCCTTGGGCATGAGTGGTCAGTAGGGTGAGCCGGAGCCGGGTGTCCTGAATGAAAGCGCCCGACGTGATGGGGAAGTAGTTGCCCTCGATGCCAATGGCCGGCACTTTGATGCGTCTAAAACGGGATTACAACATTAGCATCTCCTTCCTTTGGTTTTTAAGTTCCCCAACTTACACATGATATTGGAATCCATTCTGATCGCTGTAGAAGACGGGCAGCTCGGGCATGGTAGCCGCTTCGGCTGGTTCCTTGAGTGGATCCCGCTGTAGCGGCACTTGAGCAATATTATCTATATTGGTCACCAGTCGCATGAACAGCTCCGTCTCACGATTTTTGGGTGGCGGCTCGAAATCTATATCATTCTCCACATAAATCGCCGCATCCAGGTGAGTCCGCGTGTTGAAGATTCGTACTGTGTGGGCCAGGAAGGGTCCATAGATGACGGTCACATCACTGGCAATTGGACCCGATGTGATGATGATGCGCATGTCCAGGTAGCCCTCTAGCACCTCCTTCTCGGCCTCGCTCTGCTCGGGATCGGTCTTGAAGAGATAGGCACCCGAGTGGAACTGGGCACTGCGATAGGCGGCGAACTTGATGTTGCATTGGAGCGGCTTGAGCAACTCCTTCTTCTGGTTCTTACGCGTGATGGTCTTGAGGAAGCCACTCTTCTCGTCGAACAGCAGGCGCATGTGGGGATTCTCCAGCTGGATGTCGCCTGTTTATGATATTATATAGTTATTAACTATAGAACTTTTATTAGCTTTAAGGAAACTCACCTGCTGGCTTTCCGCGTGCCTCGAAAACTGGAGCTGGTGGGGATTCGGTTTCTTCCGGAGGACTAACAACTGCCGCCACCGTTTCCGTGCAGTCATCGCAGTAGATGGTTGCTATGTTCCGCTTGAAGTTAATTTCATCTACTTGAACTTTATAGGTGCTGAGTGACAAGGGCTCCAGCTCCGCCACGAACATCACCTCGAATTGGCGCGTTGAGGTGCGAATGCGTCCCACAGTGCCGGAAATGGATGAGCCCAGTCCCTGATCATATGAATCCGTGATGTTCCACACAGGATTGATCTGAATGTGACTCAACTCCACTCCCTTATCGTTGAGTATCTTGACATTGGGATGCTGGACGCGCAGGGTGACGACTTCCAAACGCTTTTGGGCCAGTGAATTGTATAGGACAAAGCTCCCCACTGATCCTGAGGAGGCAGCGGATCCACCCGCTCCACCTTCACTGCCAGAAACAGTGGGCGTGGACTCATCCCCGTTGGCCATCTGAATGGGCATCTTGCGCGGCAGCTTATTGAAGTTATCCCGCTCGAATTCACTGAGCAGAAAGCCGTGATGTCGCGGCTGACCCTTCTGCAGGAGGAGCTCCAAGCAGGACTCCTGCATCTTGACCATGTTCTGGGTGCTCTCAAACAATCGCATGGCATAGTCCCGCATCACCGCCGCCTTGGAGGTGCCAGTGATGGCATCGTGGTGCTGGAACAGACCCAGATTCCTCCTGGCATTGATGATCAGCTCGTAGTTCTTCTCGTAAATCTTGATGGCATTCTCCCGCTTCGCCTGGCGAGCAGTGTTATAAGCCAGGGTGAATACAATCTCAGCGGATCGCAGCTGGTGCTCCAGTTCCGAGCTGAGCAGCTTGTAGAAGGGTCGTGTGGTGAAGTAGCCCGACCAGTAAGCCGGTCTGCCTTCCGAGAAGATGTCTGAGTACACAAAGAAGTCACCCTTGAAGCTGGGAAAGCTTGGCGAGTGATCCTTCATGCGCTCCTTGATGGCCTCGAAGTAATCGCTGGGTGTTCCAAATCGGATATCTGCATTGTACAGCCGTCGATTGGCCATGATGTGATCGATGAGCTTCTTGTAGTTCTGATACTGCTGATCCACTTCGCGATCCTTATTATACCGGAAGTCATCGCCCACCGGAATAAGGGCCACGTTGTGTGGAAACAATGAGGCTGTCCTGGCATATTGCTCTAGGAGAAGTTGAGCCTTGGCCTCCAGATTTTCGTCCGTGATGAACTGCGCCTTCACGGAGTACTCCGTGTACTCGCCCGGAATCTTACGGAAGTCAAAATTCAGGCAGATGAAGGGATGCGGACCACAAGATCCCTTGATGGAGTATATATCGAAGGGCATGTTGTGGGTGAGCAAGCTGCCAGTTCCGCTGTCCTTTCCATTCCTACTCCTCCAATAGGGCTTCCAGATAAAGTCACCCGACTGCTGGCGGGCGAACCATTGCTTCCAGGCGTAGTGAATCCTCTGGATAATGGTGCCTTCGAAATTCGCTCCGGACAAAAGATACGGCACAGTGCTGCCATGACCAAAGGGATCAATAGACCAGCCCACTTTTGGTGTAACATTCAGGTTGTTCTTCAGCCACTGATGACCCTCGATGAGCTGATCCAGCATGGGGTATATATGCACATTGGCCTCATCCGTCATCACCCATCCGCCGGTGGTGATTTCAATCCGACCGGAGTCAATCAGTCGCTTCAGGGCTCGCTGCTTGGTGGGATGCGCCTGATCCCACCAGAGCTGCAGGAAACTGATCTCCGACCAGATGAACGTCATGTCCGTGTACTCCTGCATCTTTGTGACCAGCAGATTGAGGATTTGCCGCGAGTCCGACTGGAAGTAGTTGGTGAAGGTCTTCAGCCAGCCGGGATCGTTGTGGGAATGGGGAACCACTATGACCTTTAGTGGAGGACGTTGCTTGTCCTTTTTCTGGGCATCAAAGCGCTCCTCGAAGCCGCGATCCCAGTACTCCTTGGAGCGCATCCATTCAGGCTAAAGGAGAGAATGAGATACAGAAGATTTCTTGAGAGTATTTTAGGTGTAGTCCATACCTGAAAGTCGAACTTGCTGTGCTCCTCACTGGCGGTTATGTTGGTGTTGCTCTGAAGCAGCTCGTAGCACTTGTCGCCCCAACTGCTGTTGACGTACTCCTCCTCCTCCTTGGATGGCACCTCCGGAGATCCCGCTGTGGCCGCCACCGCCTTGGTTTCCGGCGATCTCTTCTGGCTCGAGACGATCCCCGTGTGCAGCTTCTGTAGGTGGGCCATCGAGGAGGCCCCTCCACCCATGCTGAATCCAGTTAGGCCATTCAGTGGTGATCCTCGCAATGCCGCCGATGGTGCTCCCGTCTCCGAGATGGGCG